CAGCCATAGCACTGCTGCTCTCTACTCTTCAGTGATGAAGCCTGTTAGTGTGTTTAGTGAAAAGAATAGGGAAATGTATGTCTGTTTTCCCCAGAACAGAAGTACAATTTTTTTTTTTTTTTTTTTTTTTTTTTGAGACAGGATCTCACTCTGTTGCCTCGGCTGGAGTGCAATGGCATGATCGTGGCTCACCGCAGCCTCAACCTCCTGGGTTCAAGCCATCCTTCCACCTCAGCCTCCTGAGCAGGTGGGTGACAGGCATGTGTCGCCACACCCAGATAATTTATTTTTTCTACAGACATGGTCTCACTAAGTTTCCTAGGCTGCTTCAAAGTCCTGGGCTCCTTCACCTCCCAAATGGCTGGGATTACAGGCGGGAGCCACCATGCCTGGCCTAACTTTGGTTTTGAATGAATTAAATCAAGCTGTCTTTGGTTGACCTATGTATTCAAGTGGAGATATCAAGTAACTTGTTGGGTTTGCGTTATCGGAACTCAAAGCACATTTTGGAAATGCTGGGGAATATACGGTAATCAAAACAACAGCTGAGGTAGAGGGTCCTGGGGAGAGGGCTCAGACTTAATGAGGGGAAGAAGGAAGCTGGGACTTAATGTTGAGGAACTCTAGCATTTCACTGCCAGGGAAAGGGAAACAGACTCGCAGGAAGACCACTGTAGCTGTAAGACAGGAGGAAAGTTGGCGTGAGCAAAGGCAGGCTTATGATGGGAAGGCAGCAGCCCGGCCGCAGAGGTGATAAGACTATTCACTCCCAAGGAGGTGATTCTTTCTGAATGGTGTGTGTGTGTCGGGGGGCCTGCCTGCCTGCCTGCCGGCCCTCCCTCCTTCCTTCTCAAAGGAGTTTCACTCTTGTTGCCCAGGCTGGAGTGCAATGGCACAATCTCAGCTCACCGAAACCTCCACCTCCTGGGTCAAGCAATTCTCCTGCCTCAGCCTCCCTCCCAAGTAGCTGGAATTACAGGCATGCACTATCATGCCCAGCTAATTTTCTATTGTTAGCAGGGTTTCTCCATGTTGGTCAGGCTGGTCTCGAACTCCCAACCTCAGGCGAGCCACCCACCTGGATCTCCCAAAGTGCTGGGATCACAGGTGGGAGCCACTGTGCCTGGCCCATGTCGGGGGGGGGGGGTCTTTGTATGTATGCAAACACATGCATACATGCATACACACACACAACGTATATGATAAAATACGTTATCAATTCATACTGCTTCCAATCCAAATTTAGAACTACAAGATAGCTACGTGATATCTATATCTCTTTTTCCCCCTGATGACTCAGTTTCAAAAATTCACTGGGTCTAGACTGCTGTGATCTCTTGCCACCTCCCAATATTGGAATGAGCAAAACTCCCAATTCCAGCTTTTTTCGAATTGTCCTGTGGCATGTTTCAGGGACCGCCTTATGGCTGTCTTAAAATCAGCAAAATGTATTGAGATGCTGCAGGTGGAGGCTCCAGCAGGGGTGGCAGCCCACGTTGTCGGAATGTGGCCTGGAGATATGTTTTACTGAGGCAGAGTTTTTAATTTTTTAATATCGTTGTTGGCTGTCAGCTTTTGAGGGTTGGTATATATATATATCCCCCAAAAAAGAGAGAGATATATATTTTTTGAGACAGTCTTGCTGTGTCACCCAGGTGGCTGGAGTTCAGTGGTGCAATCTTGGCTCACTGCAATCTCCTCCTCCCAGGCTCAAGTAACCCTCCTGTCTCAGCCTCCCAAGTAGTTGGGACCATCATGCCCAGCTAATTTTCTTTCTTTTTCTTTTTTTTTTTTTTATATAGAGACAAGATCTCACTATGTTGCCCAAGCTGGTCTCTAGCAGTTGTCCCACCTCAGCCTCCCAAAGTGCTGGGATTATAGGCATGAGTCACCTTACCTGATTGACTTTTGAGTTTTATGACCTACTTTTTTCTTTTTCTTTCTTTCTTTTTTTTTTGAGACAGAGTCTCACTGTGTCACGAGGCTGGAGTGCAGTGGCATCATCTTGACTCACTACAATCTCTGCCTCCTGGGTTAAAGTGATTGTCCTGCCTCAGCCTCCACAGTAGCTGGGATTACAGGCATGTGCTGTCACCCTGGATAATTTTTTTTATTTTTATTTTTAGTACAGATGGGGTTTCACTATGTTGGCCAGGTTGGTCTGGAACTCCTGACCTCAGGTGATCCGTCCACCTTGGCCTCCCTAAGTGCTGGGACTACAGGTGTGACCCACTGTGCCTAGCCATATGTCCTATTTTTAAAAAGGGTATTCTTCAATCCAAGATTATAGAAATATTTCTTGAGGTTTTTCATCATTTTAATTATGTATTCGTATATATATATATATATATATATATATATATATATATATATTCATTTTTAATTGCCTTTGGTTTGTTTGGAAATCTGGCAAAAGTAAGAAGGAATCTACCCATTTTCCCAGATGGGTAATCATTTATGAGGAAGAATTTTGTTTTTTTTTTAATTTGAGATGGAGTTTCGCTTTTGTTGCCCAGGCTGGAGTGCAATGGCATGATCTCAGCTCACTGCAACCTCTGCCTCCTGGGTTCAAGCAATTCTCCTGCCTCAACCTCCCAAGTAGCTGGGATTACAGGCATGTCCCACCACGCCTGGCTAATTTTCTATGTTTAGTAGAGATGGGGTTTCACCACGTTGGCCAGGCTAGTCTTGAACCCGTGGCCTCAAGTCGTCCACCTGCCTCAGCCTCCCAAAGTGCCGGGATTACAGGCATGAGCCACCGCACCCAATGGGAGGAGAGATTTTTATGGAAGACGGCAACACATTTGGCTGTTTTCGTGCTGAGAAGCAGAGTGCAGTAGAAAAACAGTAGATATTGGGAAAGGAGTCAAAAGCCATATGATTTAGGTCCCACAAGGATTCGGGCTTTCAGTCTACGTGTAAAGAGAAGACAATAAAACATCTCATTTTTGTTAATTTTTTTTTGTGTGTGTGTGCCAGGTATGGTGGCTCACACCTGTTATCCCAGTACTCTGGCAGGCCAAGGCGGGAGGATCAATTAAGCCCAGGCGTTTGAGACCAGCCTGGGGAACATAGTGAGACCCCGTCTCTCTAAAAAAAGAAGCAGCAGCTTGTGGTAGTGTCGAGTGGTATAGAGCAGCCTGTGGTAGTGTAGAGAGAGAGAGAGCGGGAACTTGCACTGGGCCAGCACCCACGGAAAGAAACCTGCAGTTCATGGTAACAGGATGGGTGTGGCTGCGAGAGTAAGGAAATGATCCCTGCGCATCCAGGCAGACAGCTGTGCCATGTGGCGGGAAGCTTAGTATTTAACACACACGGAAATCACCATGCTCCTTTCTTCTTCTTTGACTGTTTTAGATTCCACATAGAAGCGAAATCATGCAGCATTTGTATTTCTGTGTCTTGTTTATTTCACTTAGCCTAATGTCCTCCAGGTTCATCCATATTGTCATGTGTGTCAGGATTTCCTTTTTTTTTTTTCTTTTTGAGACGGAGTCTCGCTCCATCACCCAGGCTGGAGTGCAATGGTGCAATCTTTGCTCACTGCAGCCTCTGCCTCCTGGGTTCAAACAATTCTCCTGCCTCTGCCTCCCGAGTAACGAGGACTACAGGTGCATACCGTCACATCCGGCTGTTCTGTATTTTTAGTAGAGACCAGATTTCACCACATTGGCAAGGATGGTCTTGATCTCCTGACCTCATGATCTGCCCACTTTGGGTTCCCAAAGTGCTAGAATCACAGGTGTGAGCCACTGTGCCTGGCCCTGGATTTCCTTATTTTTTTTTCAGACAGAATAATATTCCATTGTGTAATAAACACATTTGTTTTATCGTTCATCCATCAACAGACATTGATGATTGCTGTTTCCGTATCTTGGCCATGGTGAATAATGTTGCAGTGAACATGGGGGTGCAGGAGTCTCACCGAGTTTCATTTCCTCCGCATCTACAGCCAGAGGTGGAACTGGCGGATCAGAACGTAGCTCTAGTTATAATTTTTTAAGGAGCCTCTATACTGTTTTCTCTGACGATTGTACCGATTTACATCCTTTTGATAGTGGCCATCCTAACGGGGGCGCAGTGATAGTTCAGTGTGCTTTGGTTTACATTTTTCTTATACCTAGAGATGTTTAGCATCTTTTTATATGCTTATTGTTCATTGCTCATTTGTGTATCTTCATTGGAGAATCGCCTATTCACGCCCTTTGCCCATTTTAAAATCAGGTTATCTGGTTTTGTCGTTGTTGCTGAGCTGTCAAAGTTCCATATAAATCCAGGATATATTGGAAATCAGATCTATGATAGGTAAGCGCTGTTTTCTATTCCGTAACTGCCTTTTTACTCCGCTGTTTCTTTTGATTAGCCAGAGTTTTAAAGTGTGGTGTAGTCCCATTTGTCTGTTTTTGCTCTTGTTATCTGTGCTTTTGGTGTCATAGTCAAGAAATCAGTGCCACGTCCTGACGTTTTCCCCTTTTATTTCAATCGTTCATAACAAACTTTGGTCTCACATGTAGGTTTTTAATCGATCTTGAGTTGATTTTCATGCGTGCTATAAGGTCAGGGTCCACGTTCATCTCTTGCACGTGGAACTCCGGCTTCGGACACAGCGTCGTCTCACTGTCCCCGGGAAACTCCCCTTCTCTTTCGAGGACCCAGGGACCCGGGGCCCTGCAGCTCACAGGGGTCCTCCCGCGACGTCTGGGTGCTTAGCCAGGACCCCGCCTCAAACGCGTGGAACTACACTTCCCAGAATGCCAGCGTCCTCCCGTGGACTCCATTTCCCAGAGGACGCAGCGGCCGCCCCGCCCCTCATGGTCCCAGCGCGCCGCGGCACGTTCGCAGCTGATTGAGCGGCGCGGGGACTAAGGTAGCTCGGACGCCGCCGGGTCGTGAGGCTGCAGCCCGGTTGGGCCATTTTGAAGCCTCCAGCCTGCGGAGCGCGGGTCCCGGGAACGCCCGAGTCCGGGGAGGTGAGCGGCAGAGGCGGGCCGGGCCTGGAGGAGGCGGCGCCGAGCGTTGGGACGGCCTGCGGCCGCCGCGGCCCCGACAGCCTTTGTGGGCGCGGGCGGGCACCCCGCGCCTGTCACCGGCCCCCGGGTCGGGCCCTGGACTCTCGACCCCCTCGGACCGCCCCCGCGCCGCCGCCGGTGCCTCCGTTCGGGCTCGCCGCTGCCCGCCGTGGACGCCGGGCCAGGCGTTTCCTCCCGGGTCCGCCCTGTGCGCGCCGTGCGGGCCTCGCGGACTCGGGGCGCCGGGACCCCGAGCGCAGGGCGGACGCAGCCGGGCCCCGGTTTCCGTATCCGTCCCCATGATGGCCGCCCCTCCCTGCTCGGGCCCGCTGACGCGGTCCTCTTCAGAGCCGTTTTCTGTGCAGTCAGATGGTTCCGTGGCGGGAGGCAGAGAACCGGGTGGGAAAAGGCTTGAGGGGGAGGAGGTCGTCCCGGGCCCGCCGCGCAGGGGCGCGCACGGGGCAGGTGCCCACACGGGGCAGGTGCCCACACGGGGCAGGTGCCCTGGCGCTGCCCCGGTCTCCTGAGCGGCGCAGTGGGTGCTGGCGGTGCCACCTGGCGCCGAGGGCCTCCGCGGCTCGGGGCGGGCCCTGGTCCTGGGGGGCGCAGCGGGCTGCTGCCGCCGCCGCGGGTCCAGCGTCCGGTCCGGAGGCCCAGAGCCCACGAGACCCGGGCCTGGACGGGCGCCCGGCGCTGCTCCTCCGCGGGCTCCGGGCGCCTCCCTCTGCGGACGCGGGGTGGGATTTCGGAGCTGAGGGTTCCAGGGCTGGCAAGCAGAAGGGGCTTCCTCCTGGCTTCCTTTCTCTTCTCAGATCCGCCTTCTGGAGACTGCACCGCCCTCAGGGGGGAGCCCAGGAAGAGGACATGGCTGCTGGGCAGCGGGCAGCGAGGCCCCAGGTGAGCTCGTTGCAGCCCCAGATCTCAGTGAGTGGATTTTCCCACTAAAAGTTTCTTCACCCAGGGCCATCTTCAGCCAGGACGGAGCCCAAGCCCTTTTCCCTTGGAGGAACTGGTCGGTCCTTAGGAGTGGCGGATTCTGTAAGGAGAACCACCCACCCTCCCCATCCATGTCTAGTGGTTCTTTTTTCTTAATAAACGCACTTTGTTCACTAATCTCAATCCATTGTGAGACTAATTTGACAGGTAAGTTGCTACAAGTCTGTGTATCACTAGGGACAGAACAAATGTGCACCCCTTGGGAACAGTCCCTGCCTCCTTCACTCACCCACGTCTCCCTTCCTATCCTTTGAAGAATACTTTTTCCTTTCACCCCTGAGAATCCTCATACCACCACCCCTTCCCCAGGATCCTCCAATGCTAGTTTTTAGGTTTTTTTCTTCCTCTTTGTAAATCATATTCTTTGCTTGTATCACTCTTGAAAACTGATGTAGACTTTTCATTTTTGTGTAGTGGGAATGAGAAGGCCACCCTTTCTAGGTGAGAGAAGAATGAACAGAGTTGGAGAGGTCACTTGACTCCAAGGACAGAGACAAGACCCCTCAGGTAGCCTCAGGAAGTGTTTCATGGGATATCAGTAGTACAGAGGCAGCATACGTGGTGGGTAGGAAGTGGGGCTGTCAAGCCAGATGGCCGCGTTTGTGGGCCTTGGGCTTCACCTCTCTGTGCCTCAGTTTTCTCACCTCTAAAATGGGAATAACAACTGTGTTCACTTCCCAGCATAGATGAGGGGCTCACATGAGTTAGTGTATGGAAAGCGTTTAGATCAGGGCTAGGCCCATAGTTACTGCTCAGTATGTGGTGGTTTTGGTCACTGAGTGACATTGTTAATACATTAATAATGTTGATATGTAGAAACTGCTGTACAATGTGTTTAGGACCCAGATGATGTTATCCTTTATTCATTTTTTGTCTAACAATAATAATGTCCACTGACTGTCTAGCATACCAGGGAATGGGCTGAGGGCTTTACATTTGTTTTCTCACTCTCATAATAGCACAACAATTAAAATTTTTGTTTTACATGTGAGGAACCTGTTAAACTCCGAAAAGTTAAGTAACCTGAGCACATTTCAAATTGTCTCGGGCTCTCAGTTCTCTCGGACCACCCAGTCGTTTCTCTGGCGCGTCTTTCAGAGCGTGGACAGATCCAGCCACGTGATACCAGAGCTCTTCTGCAGCGTGGCATTATCTTTTAGACCAAGGGAACACAGTGGAGTTTGATCTGAGGGTGTGGACAGAATGAGCCATTATGCATTTGAGCTGCCCTTTGTCCTTCAAGGCATTCCTGTTCCCTTCCAACAGAGCCAAGCCGCTCTCCTGACCAGAACCTGCTGCGTCCCTGCGTTTGAGTGAATCTCTGTGGCCTCCTTCCTGTCTGCCCTTGCTGCCCATGTGTCAGTACTGTGTAAAATTCAGTGAAGGGAATTCTAAGGCCAGAGAAAGTACAGAGTTCACAGTTAGAAAACTCCGAGTTAGGATCCTGCCACTGCCACTAGCAAAGCACATGCCCTGGGGCCTTGGACCTTGTGTTCTCCTCTCAGGGCCCTTTCCAGCCACACAGTTTTTCATAGCTCAGATTATTTCATGCATTTTCTAGTCTGCCAGTCAGATTATGCATTCTTTCCTTAAAGAAACATCGTTTCTTGTGCTCTTACCCACTGTACAAATAATTTGATACTCTTGCTCACCATAAAAATATCGCAGAGTCATGGTGTAAATTTTAGGGAATAAAACATTTGCACATGTATGTATGTAGGTATATATCTGTATTTGTGTTTATGGATATGTGTGTATATACACGCACATATGTATGTGTATGTTTATATAGATGTGCATTGCATAATGATGTTTTGGTCAATGAAAGACCATAAATGTGGCAGTAGTTGCTTAAGATTAAAACATAGCTGGGTGTAGTGGCTCACACCTGTAATCCCAGCACTTTGGGAGGCCAAGATGGGTGGATCACCTGAGGTCAGGAATTTGAGACCAGCCTGACCAACATAGTGAAACCCTGTCTCTACTAAAAATACAAAAATTAGCTGGGTGTTGTGGCAGGTGCCTGTAATCCCAGTTACTCGGGAAGCTGAAGCAGGAGAATGGACTGGGACCCAGGAGGCAGAGGTTGCTGTGAGCCGAGATCACGCCATTCTACTCCAGCTTGGGCAACAGAGCAAGATGCCGTCTGGGGAAAAACAAAAAAAACAAAAAAAAAAAACCGAAGAATTTGTTTTTTTATTGACTTAATGGCCATTATAACATTGTAGTGCAAGGCTTTGCTCCTATTTTGTGGTGATTTTGGTCTAAACAGGCCTACGGTGCAGCCTGTCAGTTCAATAAAAGTGTATAACATATGCAATTATGGATAGTTCATGATACTTGATAATATCCGACTATGTTGCTGGTTTATGTATTTATTATACTATTCTCGATAATTTACAGTGTCTTCCTTTTTCGTATTTTTTTAAACATTAACTGTAACAGCCTCAGGCATGTTCTTTGGTCGGGGGCGGTATCCAGAAGAAAGCTTTGTTCTCAAAGGAGATGACAGCTGCCTGTGTATCATTGCCCCTGAAGACCTCCCAGCGGGACAGGACGTAGAGGTGTAAGACAGCGGTGTTGATGATGCTGACCCTGTGTAGGCCTAGACTAATGTGCACATTTATGTCCTAGTTTTTAACAAGTTTTTAAAAGTAAAAATAAAAGTTTTAAAATAGGAGAAAGCTTATAGGATAAAGATGTAAAGGAAGAAAATATTTATGTACAGCTATACGATGTGTTTATATTTAAGATAAGTGTTACTAAGAAGTCAAAGTTTGAAAAAACTAAAGAGTTTGTAAAGGAAAAGTGTTACAGTAAGCTAAGGATAATTTGTTGTTGAAGAAAGAAAACTTTTAAAAAATAAATGGAGTGTAGCCTAAGTGTACAATGTTTAAAACGTCTACAGCCATGCACAGTAACGTCCTAAGTTTCCCATTCATCACCACTCTGGCAACTTCCAGTCCCGCAAGCTCCATTCATGGCAAGTGCTCTGTACAGGTATACCATCTCTTACTTTTTATACTGTGTTTTACCATGCCTTTTCTATGTTTAAATATATTTTCATACACAGACTCTTAGCACTGTTTTACAGTTCCCTATAGCATTCAGTATGGTAACATGCTGTACAGGTTTGCAGCCTAGGAGCAATAGGCTGTACCATATAGCCTGGGTATGTAGGTGGCTGTACCATCCAGATGTGTCTCTTGTATCCCATAATAAGGAAGTGGCTTAACAATGCATTTCTCAGAATGTACCTCCGTCGTTAATGCAACACATGAATGTATACTCTGTGTGTATTTCATATATACAATAGAAAATAAAACCACCCTTAACCCCACCATCTGGAGGTAATCACTTTCATTCAGTTTATTGTATATCTCAGTAATTTTCTATGTATATAGAAATTTTTTTTGAAGGGGACAAGCTAAATAGTGATATATAACCTGCTTTTTGTGCTTAGCATTTTTACGGATGTCTTTTTATGTTAACAAATAGCAATTTATACCATCAGCTCTAATGATGGTGTAGTATTTGTATTAATGTGATGATAATTAACATTTGAACCTTTAATCTGAGCCTGTTACGGTTTTAAGTGCATTGTGTGGACTATCTTATTTATTAACTATGAGGTAGATTTTGAGAGGCAGTTTTAGAGTACTTTCAAATGGAGCCTAGGACATCTGCCTGGATTGGAATCCCAGCTATACCACTGAACAGCTGTGTGACTTTAGACAAATTTCTTAGCCTCTCAATGATTTTATTTCTCTTAAAATGGGAACAATAACTATCTTCTTCATAGGGTAATTGTGAAGGTTACATGAAGTATATACTAATGATTAATATAAAACTCTAAAAATAGTATCTGTCCCATGTAAAGCATTCAGTAAAATAGATTTATTCTGATTTTCATCATTTCTATCTTCAAGCTTGAATGAGCACACAGGTAGTGCCGTAAGTTATTTAACCTAGCCTGTATCAGTGAATACGTAGCTTATTTCCAGTTTTTTTGCTACTAAGCTACTAACACCATGATAAGTATCCTTGTGCTTATATTTTTTGTGCACTGTTCCTAACAGTAATTGGGGAGTTAAATAAAGATTATACACAGTTGTAAGTTTTAAAATATGTATTATCAAATTGCCAATGAAAAAGTAATTAACACTTCCACCGATAGCCGTAACCCCTCTACCCATCTCTTAGAGTGGCTGGACAAGGCCTGGGTCTCACTGTGTGCTGCTCAGTATGTCTTTGTTACTGGCCAGTTGTTCACTAAACGAGTGACCTGGAACCTTCAGAAGCTTGAATAGTATCAGAAGCGTTTCTTGGGTGGCCTGTCTTCCCCACTCTGAGGGTGGACCTGGGTGAGCTGGAACGGCTTGTCCTTACAGGTGTCACTGACGTTCGAGGATGTGGCTGTGCTCTTTACCCGGGATGAGTGGAGGAAGCTGGCTCCTTCTCAGAGAAACTTGTACCGGGATGTGATGCTGGAGAACTATAGGAACCTGGTCTCACTGGGTAAGGAAATTTCCCCTATAGAAACAGAATTCAAAAATTGTGATATCTCAGGCCAGGCACCATGGCTCACCCTATAAGCCCAGCACTTTGGGAGGTCGAGGTGGGTGGATCACGAGGTCAGGTGTTTGAGACCAGCCTGATCGACATAGTGAAGCCCCATCTCTACTAAAAATACAAAAATCAGCTGGGCACAGTGGCAGGCGCCTGTAATCCCAGCTTCTTGGGAGGCTGAGGCAGGAGAATCGCTTGAACCCGAGAGGCAGATGCTGGAGTGAGCCAAGATCGTGCTGCTGTACTCCAGCCTGGGGGGCAGAGTCAGGCTCCGTCTCAAAAAAAAAATTGGGATATCTCAGCACTTCCTTGCCTGAATAAAAGCTGTGGGCCACCAAAAAACTTGAGCTCAGTTTGAGGATTATACAAATCAGTTCTCTATAAATAAACATTGAAAACCTTCCTCCTAATAAGTATGGAATTGCTTCACGTATTGTCAGGTGGGTATTGATAAGTATTCCCTTCCCACTATACAGTTTCACATTAGAAATTCTCTCATAGTTCAGGCAACATTTTTCCGCTTTGATGGTTCTGTGGTTTGTTTGCTCATCTCTCAGCAGAGGGCTTACCTCATCCTTCATTGACCTACCGTTGCCTTTCCCACTTCTCTTTTCCAGCCAGGTGAATGTTGTAAAATCCACCTTCAAAAGGGAATCATATGATGTTTTCTCATTTTAAAAAAGTTACTTGATACATCATTCCGTAGATTCCTGTTCATAAATTTTAATTCATCCATACATACAACATTCCTTCTGTAAAAAAGTCACGGTACTCTAGTAATCAAGGCATACTTTGTTGTGTCAAAACAAGACCAAGACTTTTTTTTTTTTTTTTTGGTCTGCCTGCAGGACTCCCATTTACCAAACCAAAAGTGATCTCCCTGTTGCAGCAAGGAGAAGATCCCTGGAAGGTGGAGAAAGACAGTTCTGGCGGCTGCTCTCCAGGTAAGCGGGTGGCTGCAGACAAGGGTCTGGTTAATGAGAAGAGCCACAGCCTGGAATACTTGATGGGAAGCTGCCTTGAGGATTCTCAGAACTCAAAAAGTGATGGAGAAGCGGAAGCCCAGGCTTGTGGACACAAGCTTCTGCTTATTTCCTTGTAATCACTTCACCGTGAATCTCTCAGTCTCTTTTCTTACTCTTTCCTGCTGTTTCAGGAGAGGGCTGTATTTTCATGTATTCATTAAGCAAACAGTGTATGTAAGGAATTTCGAATAATTCACTCTGGCCGAGCTCAGGGTGTGTATTTGGGAAAAGGAGGAGGTAAGGAAGGAAAGAGCCTAGAAAGCTAGGAAAGGGCCACGTGCTGAGTGCTTTGGCACGGTTCTGAGAGGTGGAAACTGTCCAACGGAGCCCTGGAAATCACTGAAGGAGTCGGGCAGGGAATCATAGGGTCCTTGGTATCTTAGAAAAATCGATCTGAATTAGAAACAGTTGAGTCTTCATCAGTGTAAGAATAGCTAAGGGACCTGCAGTGTGTCCTTCCTCTGGTGAGCATCGCTACCCTGAAAACAGGAGCCCACGGGCATGGATAGAGCTCCCAGCAAGTTACAGAGCATTGTTAGGATGTCACCGTTTATGGTGAATGAAAATTATGTGTATGTGTAATGTGCGTGTAAGCCCAGAGAGAATGTTTAGGAGGACACATCTTAGCTGGTGGTGACATTAGTTACACTCGGAATAAGATTGAGAATCGGTTCCACAAAAAGGGGATGTTATTTACATGTAGTATTTTGAATTTTTCACAAAGAATATATTCATGGCTTTCTTTGTGATTCGAGTTTAATACAGATGGTGACTTTGGGAGCATTGTGATTGAAAGTGCGGCAAAACTAGAGGTGGGAAGCCTTGCAGAGCGACTGCAGTCATGGAGGGAGGCAGGCAGAGGGGGAAGGGCCTGGACGAAGGCGCTTGCTGTGAGTTAATGAGGAAGAGGAAGTCAGATGGAGATTGCTGGTGGGCAGGTGTGTAAGTGCCAGGGCCAAGATTCAAGGGAGGTCAAGGAGCCATCAGCACAACAGGGGCATTGGAAGCCTGGACCTGGCTGGGTCAGGGGGCCAACCAGAGGCCTGAATCCAGAAAACAGCATTTGTGAGGCACGTAAGCGGGAGGAATCTGTGACAGAGCCTGAGGAAACGGGGAGGGGCCATTGTGGCAGTAGGGGACTGAGAGATGTTGAACTGGGGGGCTCCGACTCTGGGGGATCTAGGTTGAACCCTCAACCACAGCTTTGCTGTCCCTTGATCAGTGAGGAGCAAGCTGTGCTGAGTGCTGCTGGCGTAGAATTGGGCAGAAGGAGACGCAGGTCTCGCACTTCTGGAGTGCACGATGTAGCAAGGGAACAAGGTGAGCATACTCACGTGAGGACCACATGGGAAAGACGCTCGGTGCTGTGAGAGTACAGAGCAGGCAGGGCGGTGTCAGCAAAGGCTTCCCTGAGGAAGGGCCTGGGATCCAGGGACTGAAGAAGTGCTTCAGGCCTAAAGAGTGGTGTTCATGAAGGTCCAAAGACGTAAAGCCAGCGAGGAGAAGGCCGAACAGGTAGCCGAGAGAGCCAGGGGCCCTGTCGCAGGGTTTGGTTAGTGCTCGAGAGCCAAGCACAGGCTCTGAGGAGCCATAAGGAGCCCAGAGCAGGCCCAGGCTGCGTTCTGCAGCCCCCAGCCCACGTGGGGAGTCTGATGACCACAGTGCAGGGCTTGTCAGGTCCAGAGGGCTCCCTGACACCTCCTTATGCCATGGGCCCAAGGAGGAGCTTCAGGGCAGGCAGCCTTGGTCCACATAGCCTCTGTTCCAGGGAGGGCTTTCTTAGGATGGTAGCTCGAACTTTCCTTTTACAGGGGAATTACTCTCCTTTGAGAGAAATACACTAATTTTATATTAAATTAAAATTTAATAAACTGCCAGAGGCCACCACAAAGTAAGCAGAATGCAAGCAGCAGGGAACCAGGTAAGATTTAAGGGGGATGTCAGTCTGGCCATTATGTGTGGGCTGAATCTGGTGTGGAAGCTTAGAGGAAAAGAAGAATTGTTACCTTTCCCCTCACCTGGGGAGCATCTGATGGCGAGTGAGTCTCCCCTCCAGGGAGATGTGAGTCTTAACAGGCTGAAAATACGATTGGAGTCTAGAGGGCTGTCCAGAGGGATGCTGGGGCCCCTGATACTGTTGTCAGTCAGTTCCTTTTCAGATTTGGGAGGATATCCCTGCAGGAAAACCATGAGCAGGTTGTTGAGTAAGTGAAGGATGTCAGAGCTGGTTCCTGGCTGGTCCCTCTTGCTGGGGTGACCTTCCTCCTCCTGCTGTCAGATGGAAGTCAGACGGCCTAGGGTGCTGACGGGTTTGCGTCTCTGCTGTACCCCGGGTGGGGCTCCTGTCTGCCTGGACTAAGACTGCCTTAGGACAGGCAGCTTCCTTTTACCACGAGAGCTCACTTCACTGAGAGTGTGGTGGAAGGATTGGGATATTCCTGGAATTATCTCAGACTCTAGCTCGAACCAAAAACTCAACCTGTATGCTGGGTATGGTGGCTCGTGCCTGTAATTACAGCATTTTGGGAGGCTGAGGTGGGAGGATCACTTGAGCCCAGGAGTTCAAGACCAACCTGGGTAACATAGACCCTCTCTATGTTTATATGATTTTAAAAAAGAGAAAGCATTTTAGACAAAAACCTACCCGTTGAACAGCCAGTGACAGAAAAACTTGTTCTCCCAGGGACAGGACTCTCTAGAACCTCTGGTAGCCTCAACATGTACAAAGTTGTTTTCTTTTGAGATGGGCTGTTGTTCTGTCACCCAGGCTGGAGTGCAGTGGCATGATCTTAGCTCACTGCAGTGCCCTCCTCCCAGGTTCAAGTGATTCTCGTGCTTCAGCCTCTTGAGTAGTTGGGATTACAGGCACATGCCACTGTGCTCAGCTAATTTTTGGCATTTGTAATAGAGACCAGGTTTTGCCATGTTGGCCAGGCTGGTCTTGAACGCCTGACCTGAAGTGATCCGCCTGCCTCAGCCTGCCGGTGGGCTGAGATTACAGGTGTGAACCACCACACCCAGCCTGCTTTGTTTTCTTATTGCAAGAAGCCATCTTGGGCAGACTGAATTGTGCAGGGTGGTGAGTGGAGGTGTTGGTCAGTGAGGTTTGCTGGAGCTACCACTGCACACAGTGAAGGCTGTCTTTTCCTGATTTGCACAGAAGGCTCTGGAGCTTAGCAGCAGCCCTTATGAAAGGGCCTGGAATGATTTTAAAGTGACTGTGCTTTTAAGGTGGAAATGTGGCCACAATGCTCTACAGCCCTGTTTTATTTTACTTGATTTTGTAGAGATGGGGATCTTGCTATGCTCCCAGGCTGTTCTTGAACTCCTGGCCTCAAGTGATCCTCCCGTGTCAGCCTCTCAAAATGCTGGGATTATAGGCCCGAACCACCTCACCTCCCAGTCTAGTCCGGTTTAATTTGTATGAGTTAGTCTTTTTCTTATTTGCCAACAAAGACTCCTACACAGGGCCTGCCCCTCCCTTCCTACCAGCAACATCTATTCTCTTTGTAACTTCCAGAATTATCTCTTTGAAGAGTGAATCAAGTTGTATGCTTCCATGCTCAAAATCTCCAGTGGTTTCCATCTCATACAGCGTAGCCCAAAGTCTCCATCATGACCTTCAGAGACCTACATGGTCTTGCCCTGGCTACCCCTTTACCTTCATCTCCTTCTACTCTGCCCCTCATTTGAGGCCTCTCATCACCCTTGGCCGCCCTGTAGTTTGTCAGGGGGGCCAAGCAGTCCCCGCCTCAGGCCTCTGCCCTTGCTTTTTTCTGTCTGGGACTGTTCTTTATGGTAGTCGTGCACCCACATGGCTCACTTCCTTGTGCTGCACAGGCGTCTGCTCACACAGGCATAGCTTATCTGACACACGGCCCTCCAGCCCCTGTGCTATGTCCTCGGTGTGCTTTATTTTCCCTCCCTGTGCTTAGCACTGTGTAATAGTACCTAGTTCTTCATGATCTGTCTCTTCCTCTGCATTGTTAGCTGCTATAGGAGGTATTGCCTCTTTCATTTACTCCTGTTTTCCAAGAACCTAAAACAGTGCCTGGCCAGGGTAGGCTTCCAGTTGCACAATGAATGCATGATTGACTTGGACTAGGTTAGCGGTATTGAAGACAGAAAGAAGCGAACCAGTTCCGTAGATGTCCAGGAGATAAAGTCAGCAGGGCTTGTATTTGATGTGGAAGATACACGAGATAGGGTTGTCTGAGATGCTTGCTTTGTTTCTGCTTTGTTCTGGGATGGCTGGTGTCATTCAATGAGATAGTAACACTGGAACGAGATTAGATTTGGAGAATGGTATGAGTTTGATTTTCTTACTTTTCGGGGGAATTGTTTTTAGAAAAAGTTTTTGAGATAATAGTAGATTTATATGCAGTTGTGATAAGTAGTATAGACAGATTCCACCTTATACTCATTTCCAAAACCGTAGTATAATATCACAACCAAAACATTGACATTGATACAGTGAAGATGCAGAAAAATCCCTTCAGTCAGCACGGAAATCCCTCTGGGTGTCCGCTTGTGGATGCACCCGTTTCCCTTTTGCTCACTGTCCCTATTCCCTGCCTCCTCTTTTCCCTAAGTCCTGAAAATCACCAGTGTGATCTCTATTCTATAATTTTATCATTTGAAGAATGTCACACACATGGAGTGATAAAATGTATATAACCTTTTGGGATTTTTTTTTTTTTTTGGTCCCACTTAACATAATTCTCTGGAAATTCATCTGTGTAGTTCTCTACATCAATACTTCATTCCTTTGAATTGCTGAGTAGTGAGTGTTCCATAGAGTATACCATAATTTGTAGAGCCACTGCCTTGTTGAAGGACATCTGGGTTATTTAGTTTTTGACATTTAAGTATAATGCTGTTATAAATATTCATGTGCAGGTTTTTGTGAAAAATTAGCT